TCACACCTCTGGCCGAGGAGTCCTGTTAGTCCCGCCCCTCCGCGCAGAATGCTGCGTGGCCCAAAACCACGGCTTTATTGCCCAGATTAAGCCCTGGGAAGCTGTTAATCCAAGCTCAATGCATGGACTGACCTTTACTTCAAAAAGTGATCTTCATCTTAAAAAGGTTGGAGGCCTCTGCTTTAACCTCTGTCACTTTAGATGACTCTTTCTAAAGTGTTTGTTGCATTGTGTTCTTTCTTTTTCCATTCTTGCTCATTAAATAGTTATTCTGTTCATTTGTTTCTTAACTTTTTCTTTTTGGCCTTTTGGAGCATTAAGCGCACAGATAACTTCTGTCCTTTGCCCATTCTTTGGCTTCTTTCCAGTTGATCCCCCACTCACAGAACCCTTTGTTACTAGTCTTCTTGGTCCTCCTTACAATCTGTTCTCTGACACTTTCCAGTTTAATATTTGCTTTGAGATCCTGTGCTCTCCTATTCTTGCTAAATGCTCTTAATCTTGTCTTTCTTCATACAGTACTATTCTTCCTGCTGTCTGCCCACTTTCATGGTTTTTTTTCCAGCTTTATGACCCTGTCTATGCACTTAACCTTCTTTTAAAAGTTTTCAGTTTGAGTGTCTGAGTTGTGGCATAAGGATAGGTGAAGATACCTGATGCTAATCTCCTGCTTAATCCATGCTTGAGAGTTGAGAATGGGTGGGTTTTTTTAAATTGCATCATAGATATGGAATGTATATCATACTGGCCAGTATTCATGGGCCTGCTTCTAATTTTGGTGATGGGTACTTATAGACTATTAAAAAAAAAAAGTGTGAAAAGTACTTTCACACTTCAAGTGTTTTATTTGGTGATGCTTGGGGAATTTCACACTGTAAATGGAACTAGAACATTTTGTTTGATGTTTTGTTCATTTTGCTATATGAAACACTTAATGAAAAGTGGAGATTCATTTGTGTGGTGGCCCTTGCAGCACCTTAATAAAGCTGAGTGGGGGAAATTTTGTTTAGAGCCATTTGACGTTCTCTTGGCACTGTGTGGTAGCTTACTGTGTAGGGCCATGCCCTTTATAGTGTTCATTCTGGGCAGAAGGTTGGGTGGGGATGGAGTGGAGAATGCAGCACATTAACAATCCAAAGGTTAATTACATAAACTGAAATTAAAAAGCCATTGTTCAGTACAGATAAGTTCATGGGTATAGAGTGGTCTTTTTCAGCACTGAAATAAAAACAGACCTTTCAGTCTCTGGCAGCGGGGGAAAGTGTCTGTTTTTGAAGAGTACTTCATTTTGCCTTTTGTCAACATGTACCAGTACAAATTAACTACAAAACTCTCAGATAAATTTTGGTTTCAGCCAGATTGGTAGGCAACAAGTTGTCTTCAGGCCTTATTGTTTTTAGCTTTCTCCCTTGGTTGTGCATACTCCTGCTGCTAACTACCTGGTCTCCAGGCTCTGGTTGCTGGTAATGTTCTGGGACTGGTTGTCTTTGGATATTGAAACCAGTGGATCTCTAAGTAGAAGTCTCTGCCTTTTGGAGTAAAGGACGAGATACCTTAGTTTTTAGCAGATTTACAAACCTTTTTGTGTGATCTAGCCAATTTAAAGGGCATAGAAGAACAGTACAGTGTTTCATAGATGTTGGAGGCTGGAAGGGTCCTTACCAGATCATTGGGTCTAGCCCCTCTGCACGTGGGCTGGAAAGACTGCTGGGGTCAGATGACCCCAGCAAGGTGGGTGTCAAGATGCTGTTTGAAGATCACCAGGGTGGGTGACTGTACCACCTCTGGGGGAGCCTGTTCTAAAATTTTGGCACTTGACTAAAAGAAGTTTTTCCTTGCATCCATTCTTTTGTGCGTGGCCTACATTTTCCACTAGTCATGGAAGCTTTCCTTAAGTTCATAGGCCCACAACTGTTATAGTTGGTGTGGTATGTACACAGACTTGAAATTGGTTGGGTTGCCTGCAGGGAATGAACCTGTGGTCCTTTGAGTTTAAAAGCTAAACTCTGCAGCTTGAGCTGAAGCCTGCCATACAGTAATAGACTTGCAAACTTTTGGATCTTTTAGCTTCTAGATAAGACAGTTAACCAGTCTTGGAAGAGGTTATGCTAGCAGGCCAGACAGGCTGGCCTAAACAGTCATGCTGTTTTTACATACAGGCAGATGTGCAAAAGGAAGCTATAACATGACTGTTTTGGGAAAAGAAAAAAAGTACATCTCCTTTTATGCTTGTTTTGAACTTGGCATGCATATAGCTTAGTTCAGAAGATAACACTGTCCATGGAGAATACTTCCATATTCAGCCTAAGCCATTTTACAATGGTCAGCTTTGTATCTTGAGTGAGATCCCTGAGCTCTTTGCCAAGAAACAGGAACAGGGTATGCTAGTGGCAAGTACACAGTAACAGAAATAGCCAAAGATATATGTATGTTCTAATTTTCTGTTCCTAGTTTTGGCTTAAAGTGAGGAGGACAGGCGACTGATTATAAAGGGTGCAGAGTGATTGGGAAAGCAATTGTTCTTAGGCCTGGCTAATATGACCTAGACTCTCTTTTTTTTTTTTTCCTTTCCATTTAAAGAATATAGATGCATTACCTTTTGTAATCTTTCTTCTTCCACCATCCCTTTAAGAGGAAATATCCTTCATATCCAGCATCTTAGAAATATTAAGATTGTGAAGAATGCAGACGTAAAAAGGTTAGGAGGACTGCATCACTTATTCCAAGGATGGATAAAATGTATAGTATTTCACTAAGAACTCAAATCTGCTCCTGGCTGGTCTTACCTGTCCGATCAGAGCTGTCGAATTTGAATGGCAGGGACCCTCTCTGAATGGACTGTTGCGTGAACTGCCCTGCTGCATCATGCTGGACTCCTTTACTCCGCTGTGCTGTGTGAGCCTCACCTGCTATTGTAGCAAGTGACCCCTGCTACATCACACCAGGGCTGGTGTCCTTTCAGAGACTCCTGCCACAGGCTTCCTTGGCCCTGCAGACCATGCCCACCCTCTGAAGATGAAGGATAAAGCCTGAAGACTTTGGCAGCAGCAGCAGGACTGTGATGGGAGGAGCAGTACGTGGACCAGGAGCCTGCATATTAACCCCTCAAGGGCTGCATGTGGCCTGTGGGCTGCCATTTGGACTGCCCTGTGCTAGCTCATTGAGGACCTGGGCAGATGTTACATTTCAGACCTGATTAACCAGTTAGTCATGTTTTAAATAGTATCCTGGCTGGACATTTGGGCAGTTAATGGTGTAATAAAATTGGAAATAAGCCACAAAATTACTCCACAAAATATGTGAAATAATTTTATGACTGTTTTCATCACAAATTAAGTAACATTTAAGTTATTTAACGACATGAAATGTTTATTCCTTTGTGAAGGATGTACTATTGATGTTTATTTCTTTATAGCTACTACCGTGAAATTTATTACCATAGTGCTTGAAGATTTAAATTAACAAAATGTTTCACTCCAGTAGCACTGCTTTAAATTTAAACTTGAGTATTGGGAAGGGAAGGGCCTAACCTTGTGAAGTATCTGGGTTCTACTATGCTTATAAGTTATAACCCACCTCTCAGGAACTGAATGATGTCATGTATTCAGGGTCAAACTCACTATCAGACTTTGTATTGGGAAGATTTTTTTTCCCAGTCAGATTGGTGAGGATGGTGGGGGTTACCTCCTCTTGTAGTGCAGGGTGTAGTCCACCTTCAACCATCTAAGCTTATTTGAACCTAACAAAATTCCTTGCTATTTCAGTGGCCCAAGGCATTGACGGTGTACTCATCTCCCCTGCTCCCATCACATGCATGTGAGAGAGGTCAGAGTGTGTGTGTTGTGGTCCCTTTTAGACAAAGAGTTACCTGTGAACAGAGCATAGGGGCCCTTTTCTGTCTTGTATGCCTGGGACTTGTTACATAATCTGATCTTCTAACAGTACACAAGCACTTTATTTCAGGGGAAAAATAACAGGAGGATGAAGTAACTGGGAGTTACAAGAAGCAATGGACACAAGCTAGCGGAGGGTAGTTTCAGGCTAGACATTAGGAGGCGCTATTTCACTGTCGGGGTGGCTAGGACCTGGAACCAACTTCCAAAAGAAAGTGGTGCTGTCTCCCCCAAGGGGGTTTTTTTAAAAAAAAAAAAAAAAAAAAAAAAGGCTGGATGAACATCGGGCCGGGGTTGTTTGACCCCAGTACTCTTTCCTGCCACGGGAGGGGGTCGGACTAGATGATCTCTTCAGGTCCCTTCTGACCCTATGAAACTAAGTATGCTTCTCTGGAGTATTCTGGTTTTGAGGTGATCAAAGCCATTTTCTTAAAGACTATGGGTATTTTAAATAGTAAAATTGCAGTTGTTTTGCTGTGGGCATCTGTCAGTAAGTATACTTACCTTTATTCATGTAGTAAGTATTCCACTGTGGCAGTAAGCCTAATTATATTTGTCATGCGCTTTTTCTGCTTTATATAAAACTATTACAAGGCTATTTTGCATTTTCTAAAATACTAGGTTAATTTTGTTAAGTTGAATAATTGATTTCTTGCTTTTTAGAAAATCATTGACAGGTTTTGTGTTTACGCCTTTTTATAGAGCTAATTGTAAATAAAAGAAACAACTGCTTTCAGGACCGGGACTAGTCTGGTCTCTTTATATTGTAGGGCCATGTGACCATAAGAATTGGCTAAGCAGTATCAATCCTTTAAAGCTTTGAGTCAGCATATGGTAGTTCTAATAAGTCACAAGGTTAAATGTGTTATGGCTGGCGCAGGAAGAAAATATGGTAAGTTATAAAAACCTAGTGAATCCAAAGTTGTTTTTTTTTAAATATGAAAACTAGTTAAGATGGAGGCTGTAGCATATAACCTTCCAAAAAATTGTATACTGATTTTGATGCTGTTAGAGAAGTACCTTCAACTTACCATCAGAGAGGAATATGAATTGCATGTGTGCGGTGAATTTTTCTCAGGACAGGTTTTCTTTCCTGCCCCCCTTTAGTTGATGCGGATGAGATTAAACGTCTAGGAAAGAGATTTAAGAAGCTTGATTTGGACAATTCTGGCTCCTTGAGTGTAGAAGAGTTCATGTCTTTGCCCGAGTTGCAACAGAATCCATTAGTACAGAGAGTAATAGACATATTTGACACAGATGGGAATGGAGAAGTGGACTTCAAAGGTAAGATATGTTTATATATGATGATATTTTCCCTCACAAGCTGCTAATTTTTGCTCAAAACTGAGAAAATTCATAAAAGCAAAAGTACTAAGTAATCAGATTTTTAGGGGGAAGAAGTTCACATCAGTGATGTGAACCATTACCATGAATACGGTGTGTGCATGTATATACGTACTTATAAAAATGGACTTAGTTAGCTGTGTAGCATAAAATTTAATATAATTTTATATAGTTTGTTTTGTTTTAATAGTAATTTGATTATCCTTTGTTTTAAAATAACATTCATCTTGGCTTTAGAAAATATGCCGTCTATGTTAGTGTAAAATGAAAGAAGTGATGGAATAGGAGAGAATAATAAATGCATAGTTTCAGTTTTACTTCAGTAAATTTCGAAGTTTATCCAACTATGTGGCTCCAGATTGTTCACTTTTTTGTTAAGTTCAAATTTTAACTTTCCTCATAATGGAAAGCATTTTTTCCTGGAGTTGTTTTATTACGTATTTACCTAATTTTAAAATTGTTCAGTAGTAAAGGTGTGGTCCACTACTGAACCATTTTCCCTAGACAAGCAAGTGGACTGTTTCCTGGAACAGTTTTGTAGTATGTGCAACTTTTAATTTCAGGACTGAAAACATAATATTTTTTTTCTGTAAGCGTATGTTAAGTTATTACATACACTGCGTGTGTGTGTGCGTGTGTGTGTGTAAGCAGTGCATGTAATAACTTGACATACACTTACAGAAACTAAGTAATGACAGAGAGTTACTTTCTTGCTTCTGAGTCTGAGCTCTCATAATGTAGCTACCAAAAACTGTTGAAAAGGTGATGGAAAACAAATATTTGTCCTGTGGTAATAAATGCTGCTGTTGCTTTCTGGACATACTTATGTAAATGAATGCGTCTCAATCCACTGCACAGAAAAAAATCCCCATTGTTACAACGGTTCACGCTGCAACACAAACTGGGAAAAGTGCAAGTTTCCCCACAATGTTCTGCAGTATCTGACAAAGTGGACCATAGTAACAGTGGGAGGGACACATCTGTGAAAAAGCTTCTAATTGCATTACCAGAATCAGCATACAGATATTTATAGTTTATTCATTTCTGCTATATATCATTTGTTGGCAAAATCTCAAATAATTCCCATAAAATCTCCAAATTGGTCTGATGTCTCGCTCACACTCATATACTTTAATATACCTTGCATCAGACCAATCTGGAGATTTTATTGTTGTTAGAATATAAATCATAAAATGGGAAAAATATATAGTCAGCTTCCTCCAATTAAATGTAGATACAGTGCCTTTGTGCTTTATTTACGGGGTCTCACTCAAATACTTCCCCAGTATTTGGTTAGGAGAAGGCTTTCTATAATTAGGTCAGCTTCTTACCTTACAGAACTCCAGGAAGTCTTTTTCAGGGGCCCAGTCCAATGTACCTGTACGTTTTGTCTTCACTGTTACACACATGAGTAAGGGTTTCAAGATCTGACTCTTGAAATCATATGGCCTTGTAGCTTGTGTAGTTAAACAGATGTCACTACTTAATGCTTATTTTAGCTATAACATCTTTTTAAAGATTGTTTATAATACTGTTTAACACTAAGACCATCTTAAATGTAATTCATGTCTTCCTTACCCAAGGGCAAGATTAGGACTTACTCTTGATACAAATTGAATATTCAGACCTTGAAGTCATTACATTAGGCATTTTTGGTCTTCATGAAACATCAAATACCCTCAAAAGTCCAATATCTGAATTTTTAAGTGAATGTTAATTTGGATTAGTCTGTGTTCTTTGAACATAACTTTTTAATTCTTCCTGTTTGAAAAAAGCTAGGAACCCTCTTCTAAGTACATAAATACAGTATTTCTTCTCAAGTCAACCCTATTGTGAAATAATTCCAGTAATGTAGGCTTTTCTAAAGCATCTTTCCTTTTGTAATTTCTCAGTATTCTGGTTTGTAAATGGAATAAGCATGTCTTAAAACACTTGATTTGTAAATGCTTTCCTTGTTCTGTATTGTTTAGAATTTATAGAAGGAGTCTCCCAGTTCAGTGTCAAAGGGGATAAGGAGCAGAAGTTGAGGTGTAAGTACCTTGAATTCATAGCATACCATTTTTTTTTCTGATATATTTTAAAATATACTTTTAAGTTAACCATAGGGAGGAAATCATGATCCTCACAAAAGTCTATTAGTCAGGACAGGTTGGGAAATCTCTTGAAAGAAGATGTGACTTCATGTTTTTGTGGAGATCAGTAACACCTTTACAAAAAGAGGCAATGAGTAAATGAAGCAAAGCTAATACCTTTATAGACATTATGGACAAAGTGCATTATTTTGCTTATAGCAGTAGAGAAATTACATTTTACATTTGTTTGGTCAGTGAAACTAAGAAACCCAGTGAAATACAGTGAAATTGTTTCTGCAAGCTTTTATCAGTTTATTTTTCAGAAGCAGATGTACTCATCTTTGCTTTTTCTTTTAGTATTCATTGTAATGACCTAGCTATAATATAGCTACAGAAAGGGAAGCTGCTACCTGTAAACGTTTAAAAATCTCCTAGCCTAATTGACTATGTGAAACAGCTTCCTGTAAATTTACCAGTGAGAGGGGGAAGATGGCAGGCTGGTCATCTGTACAATAGAAGGCCATGGTCTTGCATTTCCTTGTTAATGTATTGCCTGATGGCTGACATTTTTTGTTTGAGGTTTTTCTAGTTCATGTTAATGGAATGCTTTTACAGTCAGTGCTACAACCATAACATATGGAATAAAATATTGTAGAATTGTTCACTGCTGTCTCTAGCATTGTTTGCTGCTTTTTTCTTAGAGTTTTACTCTGGGAGACTAATGATCTGTCCCACTGAAACGGTATATATTTTACTAAGCTGTTTACAGTGATAACAAGTTACAGATTTTACATCTCAAATCCTATGGAAGTTATTCTGTTTATATCATATTTACTATTATGCTTTCATTGTTCTTGTTTTCTGTAGTTGCTTTCCGCATTTATGATATGGACAAAGATGGCTATATCTCCAATGGGGAACTCTTCCAGGTGCTGAAGATGATGGTGGGGAACAATCTCAAAGACACTCAGTTACAGCAAATTGTAGACAAAACCATAATTAATGCAGATAAGGATGGTGATGGAAGAATATCCTTTGAAGAGCTCGGTGCTGTAAGTATTAGTGAAAGATTGATCATTTTAGTTTTAAATAACTGTAATAAAGTCAATTTTACCTAGAGATTTTTTTCACAATTATATATATAAAAAAAAAGTTAATTGCTGCTGTTCTTTGAAAATCATACAAGAGTCTACAAAGTTATTCAGGGTGCAGACTTCTCATTTTTGACTAAGAGATGTCTGTAGAAAAAGAACAAACCAAATTACTGTTAAAAATTCTTTGGTATCCCATTTTTCAACACCCTTTTGAGGTCTAAAAAACTAGACTGAATTAGAATGGACTGGAACTTAATATGTGCACCAACTGTATTTTTAAATTGAGAAACCAGACATGCAGGCTGCAGATTTTAAGAGTTTGTATGGTAGAAAGCTGTGGTTCCAAAACCATAGTTGTAGACCAACGATTCTCTCTGGAGACCTGGCTGAGAGCAAACTCAACAGCTACATTTCTTCATTACAAGGAACTAAAAAGAGAGAACTTTCTCCTGATTTCCTCCCCTCCCCTCTCCTTTCCATCCTGGCCCCATACAAAATTATTATCAAGGCCACAGGGAAGCTGAGTAATCACAAATGAGTAAGGATGTGTGTTTCATCAGGTACTTTGTCAGACTGGCTGACATTTACTTTGTTGCTGGCAGGTGTTGGCACAAGGCGCACTAAACTCTTTCCAATTAGAGTATCTCTTCATGTAGATGCAACTTGAGGATGCTAGTGAGGGCTAGTAAAAAACAATTTACTCAATTGTTTAACCTTGGGCAGATCACCCCCTCTGTAAGATGGAGGCACCTTGTAGGAGGCATGCACAGCCTCAAGAACTAGGAATATATGTTTTTATATTGTTGGACAGCTGTCCAACTCAAGCACTTTGTAATAGATCTATTGCAAAAATGTCAAAATGGAAGGGGATAGAAGGAAATAATCATCAGAACAATGTAACTTTTGTAATCCATGCTCTCCAAGAGTTGGTAGTAATGTCCCTTTGTGTGTCAATGAATTCTGATGCCCTGGCCCTAAGAAGGACTAGGAGGATTTTTTTTCATTTGAAGTTGGAATTAAAGTAATATGAATTTAAAATGTGGTTGAGTTATGATACATATCTGAATCATACTTGTGAACTGGGCAGTATATAACCAAACCGAATTAAGATCTCAATTTGTAGTAAATAGAGGTCAGTAGAAGCGGATCTCTTTCTTCAGGTTCCTTGCTGTGGATTGTGTTACACATACGGACTTGTAATTTATTGCACTTTAAATATTACTTGTGAATTTGGCCTTCCATGTATTGGTGTGGAGAGGCCAGAAAGCAAGGGGTTAGTTGAAAGGCAACCAGCTACAAGTAATGGAGCTTTAAATTTAAGTGTGGACCTATTTATGTTCATTTGTTGCTATGCCAGCTATCCTTAATTCTGGTTTCTCATTGAACTTTAATATTTATTCCCATTCCAGGTTGTAGGAGGCCTAGATATCCACAAAAAAATGGTGGTAGACGTGTGACTCTTTTTAGGGCACCACCCAACACTTTTGCTTTCTTCTCCATCTCTGAAGATCTGCTCAAGATGTCCAGCAACGCTCTCTGTGTATTTAAATGGAAGTATTTTTCTCTGTGAAGCCACATTTTCCAACATGAGCCTCATGAAGCCAACTAAGTGTTATTGAACTTTTATTCTCTCAATAACTCAGTGTAGCACTTTAAAGTCTGAAGGACAGCAAGATGGAAAGAGCATATCAGTGTGGTGGAGAAAGGGAAGGGGTTGGCTTTTTAATTTATTTTTCATCATCTTTTATAACAAGGAAATATCTATCTATATATATATATATATGTGTGTGTGTGTGTGTATTTATATATAGATATATATGTAGCTTTCTATAGGTAGTAGTTAGGTGGGCTTTAATTTAATATACTTGATTCAGAAACAAAACTAGAGTATAAAGTGCCAAGCAGAACATTAACAGTTCAATATATGGTTATACATCCTTACTTTTATTTCACACAGTTTTTTATATATATATATATATATATATAGCAAAAGAATGTAAAATTTTAACTGGGTGTTAGGTCAACTGTTTTCCTTTTCCTGTGACTGTTCAGAGGCTTCTATATATTGACTGGCTGACAAAGCATTGCTTCCTGCTAATTTACTTTAATTACATTTCTGTAACACAGGAGACTAAGTTTTATTTATACCTGTTAATATATTACCAGGGACTGTGTCTCTTTGCTTAACTTTTTAGTACAGTTCTACTTAATATGAGAATATAGTATGATGCTAATGCCAAGAACTAGGCCTGTGCGCATGTAGAAGCTGCAGAGTGCTTTTATGGCCATTTCATTCTGTCACCTAGTAACTGGGGGCAGTTACATTTTAGTAAATATCCCTAAGCAAATGTATAGCAGTTGCTACGGATTCATTTTAGATGCAGCATCTGAAGATGTTTGGTGCATTCATGATTTCTCTTGTGCTTTGCTTAACAAATTTAGGATTGATAGAATTGTGCAGGATTCCCATCCACTTATTTTATATAGTGCTTAGTGAGATGATGCATTGTTTCTTGCCATTAAATTTATTATGTTTCAACCATAGTAGTTTCCCTTCTGCTTTTTAAAAAGTACTACAGGTAGCATAAATAACTGGTAATATTTTATATATATAAATATATATAAATAAATGTATGTATATAGGATTCATACAGGGGGGAAAATCTTGTTAACCTATGCCATAGAGGAGGAAAACTTCACATCTAAATTTTATACCTCTTGCTTTTCTCCAATCCTTTGCTTGGAGAGATGTTGTTTTTTCTTTTTTTTTTATTTTCTAGATTTGTCCATATCATGATTTGTAATGGATGGTAACTTGATATATTTGTGTGATATAAAAGTAGCAGGACACATTTAACAACTTTCTATCATCCCTTCCCTTTTCTGCAAATGGTACTATTGGCTGGAAGAAAAACATTTGCTAGATTTTTAGGGTAGTACATCTTTCCTGTATAGTAGTTTTTCTATAAAAGGTATTTTATAATCAGCTGTGGAAAGTGCAGGTTGTACGAACCTACTTTAAATCAAGCACCTGTCTGCCATAGCTGTTCCTTCAACTGAGTGCTGCACATCATGGGCTCTGTCTGAGAGAGAGAAATCCAGGTGCTTGGTGTCCTTGCATGTCATGAAGTTTTGCATGTAGATCGATTTGAAATGTTCCTCTTGTTTACATAATTTGCATAATTTAAAAAAGTAATGTTGCCAAACTTTGGTAAATGTTAATGTTCAACCGAAAATCTCCACTACATGTAACCTTCTTCCTCTGGATCAGTACGTGGCTTATAATCCCAGCCAGTGATGGTATCTGTTCCAGTGTCAACTGCCATGTGCTCTGCTTCAAGGGGGAACCTAGTCTTTTGTGAATTTTTTGTACATAAATATTTGTTACAAACATTTTAGCAGATGCTATTTCTCTTACTTGCTTGTGCATATCTTGGCTGGCGTTCTAGAAGATAGTGCTAATGTTACTTCCTTAATGGGGGGATGAGGTTTTTTAGTTTGCGTGGGGGAAATGGTTTATGTTGAATGTTTAGTTTTTCCTCTGCATGCTACATCATATGTTGTGGGAACTATAGGAACCTTCATACTGTATGAATAAAAAATAAAATATTTGAATCTTGCCAGAAAATGTTCTGAATATTTTTGTTGAATTTTCGCATACATGCTGGGGCATTTTTCTCTTCTAAAAAATAGATACAAAAGCTCAGCATTCCAGGCTTACTATTTAACTAAAATTATGATTAAAGCCTATAAAATTGCTGTTGAAGTACCTCTGCCAAGTGGGTACAAGCAGCTGTTTCTGGGAATAGTGCCAGTCTTCTTCCATTTGCAATGAGCACCAGTGTTTTGGGGGGTTGGTTTGTTCACTGGAACACAATTCTGTTAAGGGGTTAACTTCTTTCTTCCACTTCTGTATTCTCATCTGTCAATCCAAAAGACATGCTGCTTGTTAGCTCCCACCTATGTTCTGGGGCACAGTTATGGTAAAAGTTCAACTGGATGCATGATAAGCACCTTAGAGCTGCTTTTGTCTCCCCTCTTCTCCCAATGTCATTCTCAACTCCAGTAAGACTTACTGAAAAGCCTGCTTTACTTCTAAAGACCTCTTACTTAAACTGGAAACAAATTATTTTATTGCCTGTGCATCAGTCCTGAAGCTCCTGTTTGGGGCTGGCCCAGAGTTAGGATTCTGACATGGTTGCGTGTGCCACTCATGACTTCTTTCAGATCATTTTCCATTCATTCATAGTTTCATAGTTTCATAGTTTCAGGGTCGGAAGGGACCTAATAGATCTTCTAGCCCGACCCCCCGCCAGGGCGGGAGAACAACCCAAAAAACACAAACAAAACCACTCACCCTAAAAACAAAAACGGGACTCAAATGAGTCCAGCCAGGTAAGTATCCAGCCTCTTCTTAAAGACCCCCAGGGTAGGGGCCAGCACCACCTCCCTTGGAAGTTGGTTCCAGCTCCTAGCCGCCCTGACTGTGAAGTAGTTTTTTCGGATGTCATTCTCCACTTACCTTAAGAAAAATCCTCTGGCAGCTTGTGTTCTGTATCTATAGACTTGGAATGACAAGAAGCACAACACTTCCTTTATACAAATTGTCACTTGGTATGTTGGTATATTTAGTTTAAATTCTAAATTGTACACTGGGACACACGCCCTTCCATTCTGAAATTTGTGTTTTAGTGGTCCAGATAGATTGGCCTAGACTATTTCATTTCGTTGCATGTTTAATTTCATCCTCTCAAATCATCAGATTGCTGGTGACCTATGTAATTGAGCAAATATTAGCAAAGTGGGCTTCATTAAGATATAGATTCAGAGGTATTTTTAAATTTTACAGCTAGTACCATTGTCTACTATAGGTTGCTCTGGCTGACCATAACTTCAGTTGCTCACTAAATACAATGTTTAGATTAATATTTCCTGTGCCAGTCTGCTTTTACCTGCTGAGAGATGAATTATTTTGGAAATTTTCAGCATAATGACTTGCTTGCTGAGTGATATTAGAGAAAACCAGCTTTTATTCTTATCTTCCTCTTCTGAGGAGCTATAGTGACCCCATGCTTGAGGAATGGAATTGAAATTTGGCAGGAGCTGGCCTTTGATGTTGCTAATATTAGGCTGTTCCTGTGAGAAGCTGCCCAAATTTGGCCAAGTTAAAAGCCTTTGGGGGAGAGAGATGACTGTTTAGATATGATTATTAACTTAGCAGCTAAAATGTCCAAAGATGCCATCTGCATGAAGAATGTTTTACATCCCCTGCAGCTGACCAGACTCTATATACCACTGAAGGACTGCAGATCTGGACTCGCTTGTTCCTTGCATATGTAAGCTGGACACAGAGCAGGCAGGGTCCCTTGCTCTCCCTGGCTTTCCATGCAGGCACTGTGGAAGAAAGGCATGTAACATAAAGGCAAGAGGAGAATAACCAAATTTAAACCAGGATGAGGTAAAGGAGTAAATACACGGGCAGAGCTTGGATGACAGGAATGACAGAAAGAACTAGATCTTGAGAAGGGCTGAGACATAAGGGCTGCATCCATGTGGTATGTGGTTCCACAGGCACATCTCTGGTGCCACATACATACCATATGTTGTGTTGATCTCTGCAGTGCAAGGGAGGGAAAAAAAACAGCTGTGCATGTGGCAGCAGTGTGCGCCAACGGAAGCTTGAGTCTGGCCAGCTGGAGCTGAACTTCACTGCAGGTCGAGCTCCACGAGGCAGGATCACTGCTGCTGCAGCCCTAGGAGGCCCCCAGCACCTCAGGTAAAGCTGCTGGACCCAGTAGTGCTGGCCCCAGCCTCTCCTACCCCATCCAGGGTAACTTGTCACATGCCAGTACACATGTGGCACAGGTGTTCCCTGGGGAACCAAACATTCATGCATGTCTGGACAGCCAAGGAGGAATTTGTCACGGTCAATGACTGCTGCATAATTCCCTCTAGAACCTAAGGGGCTGGAATATCTCTCTTGCCAGCAATTATTTGTGAGCCTACTGGCTACCACTGTGGGCTCAAAGAATAAGCTACCTACCAAGGCTATTGCCTCCTCGTACAGAGGTCCTGCCACTTGTACTGAGTGGTAGATCTCCTGTCTGTCATCCAGCCTCTAAAGTTTTAAACCCTGCTGATGGGTATCAACTTAATATTCGTTTTTCAGCTTGTTAAAAACCTAGCATATTAATACATAAGAGCTGTTGAAGGTCAGTTATAATCAAGCACTCAAAAGGATGGAAACAGTTGATGTTGCCTGTAGAATCCTTTTTGTCCCTTTTCTGCATATGCACTAATATTATCTCTTTTCAACCAAGTCTTTCTCAGTGCATGGGATGAACCTGCTCAGTGGATGAATCAGGGCTATGTAATGAAAGCACAGTTGTTAAACTCCCACCTCCATCTTTCATATAAGTCTGAGGGATGTATAGTGAATACAGCTCAGGATTACATGGCAAGAGATGAACATCAAATAACATTTAAAACCACTTAGCTGCTCACTAACAGAGAATAATTATCCAAGGAGGGTCTGAATCTTAACAGTCCATGTTTTGTCTTACCTGATCATTACTCAAGCATGGTGCAGAACACCACCTATATGCAGAGAATTATATTAGATAATGTACCTACTTAAGGGCTGAATCAAAGTGAGCAATCTCTAATTGCCCTTCTCTAACCATCCCAAATTCTGCACTACCCTTTGCAATGCAGTAAGTAGAACCAAACACCAAGATGAGCTTTCACCAGCACCTGCATATCATGCATCTATTATCCCTGCTTATCCCCTTCCCTGCACTTTCCCAGAAAAGTATGAACAATGGACCTTATCAGAATCTGTTTGCTGCTGCTGCTGCTGTTCCACTTAACTGCAAGTTTACTATTTCATGTCTTCTGGACTTGTTTAGACCACAACAAAATTCTGTCTCTTGCTTCATGAGTAACAGCTGCCTTGAAGAACTGTCAAAAATCTTCAGGTCTTCTTTATCCACTACATTTTTGATGCACTTCAACTCACACATGAACAGGCATAATTAACCTTTTTCCATACTATCCTAGTTAGGTGTCACCTACTCCACTTTTATGAAACTACAAAGGAAGAGAAAAGGCTCCCTAATCCAATGCTTCCTCTATTGCAGGAGGGCCTGTTTTAAGCATAGCTGTTACCCCACAACATTCAGGAATAGAAACTCCTCTCTCTCTTCTCCCCACCCCCCAAGGGTAGTAATTATAAGCTGCTCAACCACATACCTACCTACCCTCAAAATTCTTGGAACTGCACCTCCTGGCCTTGGAACTTACCATTCTTTAAGCCAGTGGGAACCAATTTCTCTGGCAGGTGCGCCACAAATTAGCCCCAAGCCCACACATGCCATTCCACTCCCTTCCTCTGCCTGTGCCACTTACAGCACACATGCCACAAGTTGTTTACTTTTGCTTGCTCTGGCACCTGTATCTTTATCATCAAACAAGAAGCAATAACCCCACAGCCATCTGTGAAAACAAGTGTAAAAAAAAGTTGAGAGCAAAAAAACTAAAATTGGATGTTGTTATTCAACAGGTTGTATCCAAGTAAGAAACTAATTTCCCTGTTCCAAAATGGAATCAGGAAAATGAGACAGTTTGGAGTCACTGCAGCTTGTGTGAAGTATAAGCATGTATTTTTTTTTTATCTTCCATTCAGGGTTTCACAGACTTCTGAGGTCATGCAATACAGTAACACAAAAAGATTTGGTCTGAAGCTAAGACATGCAGGCTCCTGCTTCTCCATGTCTCAAGAATTTCATTTTACATATCAACACTGACTTTATTGGAAGACTCAAGCATGCACCTTTACAATCAACTGAAGAACTCTGAAGAACCCTGAGTTTCCAGCACTTCATTGTTTCCTTCAGAAACCAAAGACATTTCCAGCTCATAAGTATTCTTATTTCAGTGAAAAGTTCAGTCATATTTATAAATTATAAGGAGTATAATCTGTAATGATCACATACAGGGTTTTGTTAAATTACTTAAATATTGCATCAAAAGGTCAGACATTATGCCTGAAAGAACAGACTGCAAAAGGAGTCCTGTTTTCTTCTAATCTTCCAAATCAAATTGAAGGAGGTTAGGCACTGTTCCTGTTAATTTCATACACATCAGTTGTGTATTAACATCTTCAGCTTCTTTACATTGGTACACAGTCCCAAATTAGAGTCCCAAGTTTGAGTCCCAAGATCTCAGAATCTTTCAGCTGCTCTGCTAGCCACAGCCCTGATATTGCCATAAACTTTTGATGGAGGGCTTCCTGCAGGGAAGAAAGATGCACAGTTGTAGGATGATTCATGGATGAATTACAAATATTGGTACAAATTATGCTGTCAGATTAAGGGTTTTTGGACACCTGGACATTTCAATATTACTACTAAGAGAATTTGCTCTGAGCAACAATAAGATGCTCCAAAGTTTCAACTATGCTCCAAAACCATACATGGAAGAAATATCAGCCTTTCACCTGAGAATGACAAGGGAAACACCCAGGGTCAGACAACAGATTCTGGTATAGAAGAGAGCAGCTATAAGATGGTGGAGCTTTGCAGATAGTCGTGGAGTGAATTATGGAACTGCAATTTACAAATAACGTCTCAGCAAAATTCCTGGCTGAAGCCAGATGCTTATGATTACTAGAATGGCAATTCAGAGATCTGGACACTGTTGAGCTGTTACCAATTTTGCATTTGTTAAGCAGAATTGCCCCCACCCAGGCCAGGTTATCTGTCTTGGCTTATTCTGTCCAATGAAACCAGAGTTTGGTTCAACACACCATTCTCTAGTCTACTTGTAGCAGAGGAATTGGGAGAGAAGAGCAGGGAGACATCCTGCAACAGAGAGAGCACTTCATGTCATGCAAGGACACCAAGCATCTAGGAGCAGACCAAGCCCAACAGAAGGAAAAGCCCCTGAACAAAGAGGAATGGTGCACCATCTCCAGAGGTAAGAATGACCTGGGAGTCGAGCTCAGATTCAATTATGCTCAGAAAGAATAAAGTCCTTCTTAAAGCAGCCATGGCTGCAATACTCCCAGTTGTACAAGACTTAATTTAGCATTTTCAGAGAAGAAACAAAAGTTGGATAACAGGACTTACCTAAAATGAGATTGCAAATTGCTGTTCGTGCCATCTTAATATTCTGAAAAGATCCTAAAATGTGAACTTTCCTGCAATAAGCAACCAAAATGCTGCAAGTTATTTATTTTGGAAAGGCTATTCCTTGCACACAGTTCATGTTACAGTACTCAACTACATTTGAGATTCAAGAATTAAATACACTTTTGAATGCACCCATTTCTTCTTCCTTTGCTTCCACTCTTGCAGCTTCAAATCACAACCCTGGAAAAGCATGAGGTTTGACTGGGCTGGTATTTCCTTTTGGTTTTACACTACCAACAATAGGTAGCACATCTGTCTGCCAGTATTTGTTATCAAGGTAGGGGTGAAGATGACCCCATTCAATGGCACAGCAGTGTCATGACCCTTGCTTTGAGGACACCAAGAGGACACCCACACTGTCACATGGGCAGTTATATCCAGTAACTGTGTCTTCAAGAGAATCATATCTGGCAGTTCAACCTCCCATCCCCCAGTAAAACTCAGCAAGCATGCCAAAAATAATGAGAAAATACTACCATTTACACTTGAATGCAATTTATGCCTACTCATAGTAGCAGGTGAAGTCACACAGCAGCATCAGGATGCATCGGTGTCACATAACTGTAAATGAACAGTTCTTCACATCAATCAGTAGGTGCAAAACATCAGCAAGTTGCACCCAATGGAACCAGCACCTGGTCTCCAACCCTTGTGGAAGTTTCTCTTAAAGTTCTCAAGCATTTTACATTAGAACACCCCAGTGCCCTGCCGTCTTCAACTTTGCAATGCTATATGGTAACACTTGTATCATCTCTCACCACTAGTGAACTCAGATTGAGTACAGAATAGATTGGAGCTGATGCATTATTCACTTTAAGCACTTAAATTAAGCGCCTTCTATTTTCTCAAACAGAATATAATTTGCATGTTTACATAAACATGGCAGCTAGCTTTAGACCTGTTTTCACTTTTACTGTCTGTCCTTCCTGCAACTTAGAGATCCCAAAATTATAGAAGTTTCTACCCAACACTACTATTAGAACACATCTCACTAGGTTAAAGTTCAACGTCCAGATACTGATGCTAATATTGGCCTCGTCATTGTCACGTAGGTTAAAAATTCAATTGCTTTGAAGCTGCCAGCGTTCATCAGCAGGGAAAACAAGATTAGGAATAAAAGAGCTGACAGAAATGCTTCCACAGGGGTGTTGGCATTCTATTATTCACACAAAACTGTTCCTACCCCACACAAAGGAATAGTTTTGGCTATTGCACAGAGGGAAGATGCTGAAGGATCAAGAACGCGTTTCAGGATTTGCACTTTACTGAAAAAAAACGTGAAATGAGAGGGATGTTTACACTTACGAGTCAGCAAGAACTATTCGTGTCCTGGTTACATTTTCTATTGTGAATTTTGTTTTTCCTCCTTTCCCTGCTATTCTTCCTATTGCTCTTGAAAGGTGGTCTCCTTTCAAAGGCTTGACTTAAAGCAAAAGAAAAATATTTTATTATTGAAACAGCAACACGTATTTCTATAGCACCTTTCAGGGGTTCTCAAATCACTTTACAAACATGAATAGGCTGCAAAATATACCTATGCACACAAAGGGAATTTACCCACAACTGAAATGCACTTACAGAGGGACCACAATTGACCCCTGAGGTGGCTGTGTTTTAGAGGAGGGCGAATTGATCCCTGTGTAGGATTGTAATAGGAATAACTCTCCAAGCGACTGGAGAAGTGAGGTCAATTCCTGCGCAGCTGAGCAAGAAGCAGAGTATGACGACATGGAACTAATGTGCTCACAACAGAATAACTAAAATTAGACGTACCCAGCTTCTTGTACCAGCCTCATCCCCCCATAGTATTCAGAGGCCTTCCAGTAGCATAAGCAGCTCACAACCACCATCTGTCACACCTCATCCCTTCCCTAAGGAAAGGATCATGCACAAAGTATAATTTATGGTTTTAGTGGTGGTTTTGTTTTGAGTTTGCTCCTCAATTAATTTGATGAGTAGAGTGCAGCATAAGACACTGCAACTATGGGGGAGACAAGCAGGGCATCAGTCCCAGATGTTAACTTAGATAGGGCTAGTTTTTTTACTTTGGAAAGATAATAAAGCAATTCTTCTGTTGCAAAGGTTAGGGATCCAGAGTTTCAGAAAATACGTGAAAACAGCACACACAGCTTGCTATTCCCTATAATGCTGATAATGCCACTTAACTAGGTGCTATACACTCACACGGGCTTCCATTAAGATATAAATTAACCTTTTTTGGCCAGAACATCTGAACCTGATACCCAACTTCTCACAACAGACAAAATGCTTCGTATTTTTAAGAGCTACAACCCCACCTTCGTACACCTGGCCAGGACAGTGGCAAATGTTGTTTTGGCCTGTATTGGAAATAACTTATACCCCAGGAGATTTTTTTTAGACCGAACAACAAGCATTAAAGATCTTACTACCCAATCCTCCAAAATAACAGTAAAATAAGAAAGACCTCTCCTGATACTGAAGTGCCCAGACTGACTACATACCAGCTAGACCAATATTTCCACTAAATGAGCTTAAATTTACTGATTCTTAGCTCAAGTGATAACCAGTCATAGGTCAGCTGTTTTCTTACTCTTTAATTTAGAGTAACTGCTGCTTATTCCTAATAAGTTAATACAGAAGATAACTATTATCTTGTGGCAATGTTTAAAACAAAAAGATGGCAGTACAGGTTTGCTAATTAACTATGTGATCCCTTCCATGGGACAATTGTACAGCACCATGCATGGTGCCATTGCTCAAATAATATTCAGTAAGCTTCACCACATACTGGAATCACCCAATTTCTCAGTGCTGTAGCAAGGTCTTGTTGCTAAGAGTGTTTTTTGTCAAACATCATCATAGGGTAACAAATATTTGAAATAGCCTTGTGTGATCTTGATTTATTCTTGTTGACTTATATACGTGAAGCCACAGAACATAAGCCATAATAGATCTTAAATGCTATCTGCATGTATAGAATTTTGTTGTGTGAAAGGGAAAAGAAAACACAATGGCATGAAACGATATTAAAAATATGGCAAGAGAACACACTTACCATCCGTAACTTCAAAGGATTCTAGAAAAAGGTCATCTAATCTGATAAGAGCAAGTGCATCCTAAAATATCAGAAAGGTTGACATTAACACTATGCAAGTTATAATACTGCAGAACAAAAATATGCTTAAAGATCAACATTACAAATTCATTTCCTTTGGACATGTAACAAAACAGATCTCCAAGAGGGCCTCACTAAATGTATCCAACAGCAAAAGCAAAAACCTAGTCTCACTAAAGAACAAGTTTGCTGCAGGTCATGTTTCTGTACAAGGAACCCTGCAAGAGCTTGAGTGACTTAGGATCATAGGAAAGAAGGACTGAAAGAGACTTCACAAAGTCATTTAGTTCTGCCCCTCCTCAGGCAGGATCATACTTGACTAAAGCATCTCAGCCAAGTATCTGTCTAACCTGCTCTTGAACGTTTCCAGGGATGGAGATTCCAAAATTTCTTAAAGGTAGCCTGTTGCTATGCTTGACCACCCTCATGGTCAGAAAGTTCTTCCTATTCTCCAACCTAAGTTTCCTCTGCTGCAGCTTGAGGCCATTGGTGCTAGCCTCATCTCCTACAGCCACAGAGAAAAGCCTATCTCCACCTTTATAACTGTCCTTTCTGAATCTGAAGACTGTTATCAAATCCCCCTCAGTCTTCTCTTCTCCAGACTAAGTAACCCAGCCTTTATTCATAAGTCAGCTTCCCAGGCCTCTAATCAGTTGGTTGCTTTCTGCTGGACTAGCCAATCTGTCCATATTTTCTTGAAGTATAGGGCCCAAAACTGGACACCAGGTGAGACCTCACTAGTGCTGAATACAGCAAAAGCATCACTTCTGGTAATGCAATCCAGACACTGTTGGCTTTTTCTGTAACAAGAGCATACTGTTGACATACATTTATCTACTGTAATCCCCAGGTTCTTCTCTGTAGTATCGTGGCCTAGATCGTACTTATAAAAATAGATAAGATGCTTATTTCCCTAAAAAGTTAATCCTTTTCAAAAAGTACAAGATGCACCAGTAAGGCAGAATTTTTTAAAATATTTTTTTCCTATGGAAGATAAGTCCAAAGAGAGTCAAACTATCTTTTGGGTATGGGTTTGAAAACTGTATGGGTGTGTACACACACACAACTTAACCATTTTTATAGAACAGACGTAAATAAAAACTGCATCCCTAAATGGCACCCCAGAAGAAATCTAATATGAGCCAACTTACCTTGGATCTTAACTGAAACTGTGATTTTCAAAATCAGAAAAGAAGAAACCTTGATTTAAGTAACTGATTTTAATCTTCTATAGTATTTGTATATTTTTATTATTTTCCTAAATGGTCACCAACTAGTCAGAATCAACCCTTAAAAACAATGATATACAAATAAATGTAAAACTTTATTCTGACGTGGATTTAGAACAGCCTTCAGATTAGCAAGAAGTACAAATTTAAGCCACTTTACAACTGAAAACACATTCAAATGTTTATATTTTATTATGCTAGAAAAATGTGAAGTGACATTTCCTATTTACTAGGTGTTTTGGGTTTTGTTCTGTTTTACTTTTTGTTTGTAGTAATCTGTTTCTGGAAAGAAACTGGAATTTAATAAAAGATGCAAAAGAAGTCCATGTTTCAGCTTTTTCAAGCATTAAAGCTACGTTAAGCGTCCTGGACACACACAAAGTTTATCAAAAGATATTTTCCCTTTAAAACTAACTGGTTTATTTAAAAAAGTAGTATTATTGTTGTCCATCAATTGAACTGTTTTTTTCTTGTCACCATGTTCTTCAATATTTAAGAATTAGTAGACCTCAGCCTTTTGGAAAAGAAGCCACTTTGCTTTTTTCAACTCTCAGTCAGTTTCTTACCTTCTAATGATTTAATAAACCAAAATGAAAAAGCTGAAATGAAATCAATTCTCTGTGCACCTGCAGAAGGGGCAACAGCTGTCAAAGTGGTTTATCATTTCAGAGAACTCTAGTTCCAGGTGCTGAACCAATGACTTCCCCTAGCTTAGTCATCTGACTAAAGGCTAAGGACTCTACACAGGAAGGCAAATACAGATTTTAGACAAGGGGACTCGTTCACACTCTGGTCGCTGACAACTCACCTCAACTTGAAATCCAAGAATAAATGCTTTCACAAAGTCAGCTGCTTTTGTCAAAGCGCTCAGATCCTTTGTCTCTTTACAAGTCTGCAAGGCAAAAATTATAGATGCAAATTAAGAGCACATAGTGGGAATGTAAACATCCACCTAATATCTCCTTGTTCTTACTCGTATCTCCTTGTTCTTACTCATTAGGCTGAAATACTGCAATAACCCTAGCCATCCACCATAACATCTGATCTACTAGTGGCGTTCAACGATCCCAATATTCTGTGCCTCCAAGAACATGCAGCAGATCACCCCAATCAATGCTTGGAATTCTTTCTCCACCCAGTCAATAGATGCTGCTTGAACACTCTTCTGCCATGATGTGAAAGAACGGAGGTTTTTGCAGAATCCCCTGGAACATAACCCAAGTCATACCAAAACAAACAGCAACCTGAGAAGCAAGGAGCAGGGAAGTAGAGATATGGTCAGCTTGAAGGCCACGTGCAGTATGTTATGCTTACCAAACTATCACACAAATCTTGAGACTAGAACCTCTGCCATCACCCCTCCCAATGCAATGCTTGTGCAGTGGGCCTCCTACCAACTATCTCCACCCCAGATTTTCCCCAAATTCTGCCTAAAAGTTCAACCAGGATAAATTCAAGCTAATTAATTTCTGTACACCGATGAGATTTTAATTTGGAGCATCATCCATTAGGACCCAACACTTAAGACCTTTAGATCAAGAAAAAACGAGAAATGTGCAGTCATAGAGAAATTGCTCTCTCTCAGATATATGCTCTAGATCAATACAGAAATTGATCCAGATAAGGTGTTACAGACACTGTCATGCAGGGAGTCAGACTAAATCATGATAACTATGGGCCTTAAATGTTATGGAATGTCAGGAAAAAACATGCAAGAATGAAGGTTTGGACAAAGGGGGTGGCAGGTCAAAGGAAGAGAGATTTGTGAATCAAAGAAAAAAAAGATGAGGAAGAAGCCTTGCGCAACTTCTAACAATTGAAATATTGTGAGTGCAATCTAAAACACAGAAAGAGAATCACAAAAGTCACAGAAGGGCAAAATTTCAAAGCAGCATGTGTGACAGAAAAAAATAAAAGAAAATAAAATAAGATAACTGATTAAGGAGGATGCACATGGACTATGACAGCAAATCTCAAGGCTTGAAGAGTATCATTAAAGAAAAGCAAAAGCATGTCAAGAGAGTACAGGCAACAGAAACAAGACCAAAGAAAGCAAGGAATGCAGCTGAACGTGAATCATTTGAATTTAAAGGTGCAGGAAGAAAAAAGCCGGACAATAATGGAAAAATGAGATGGGATAAAGATAGGTGTTTCTTTTCCACTTTCTTTTTTAAGATGGGGAGGGACAGAAGGAGGAGTATGCAGGGGATGCCCAACAGAGAACAGAAGGAATCTGGAGATAGGTGCATATGCATGTCCAGCAAGCTGAGGAGACAAGTTAGAATGCGGTCACTGACTTGGGAGAGAGCAGATCTGGTGAGATTTTACCCATTTTCTGGACAGAGGCAGCATCGTTTTTTTTAAATGACCTTACACTTACATACCAGCACTGGTGGCTGTGTGGCAGTGTTCTTGCCTACCATGTGGGAAATCTGAGTTCATGCCCCAGCTTTGGTGACTTGGGGTGAGTGAGCTAACAAGGAGATATTCCTCTTGTCCCAGAGGACTGGAAAAGGGCCAATGTGGTCCCCATTTTCAAGAAGGGGAGGAAGGAGGACCCAGGCAACTATAGGCCAGTCAGTCTCACCTCCATCCTTGGCAAAGTCTTTGAAAAAATTATCAAGGCTCACATTTGCGAGAGCCCGGCAGGACAAATTATGCTGAGGGGAAACCAGCACGGGTTCGTAGCAAGTAGATCATGCCTGACTAATCTAGTCTCTTTTTATGACCAGGTTACAAAACATCTGGATGCAGGAGTAGGGGTTGACATCGTTTACTTAGACTTCAGGAAGGCCTTCGATACAGTATCCCACACCATACTGGTGAACAAGTTAAGAGGCTGCGACTTGGATGACTACACAGTCTGGTGGGTGGCGAACTGGCCAGAGCAGAACTTTCCAAACTGTGTGCCGCGACACATTAGTGTGTCGGCGGCAGTGTGTAGGTGTGTCGCGCGAAATGCAGAAAATTTTGCGGAAGGGCACCGCGGAGCTCCCTTACTCGCGTCTGCTTCCCTTGGCCCCTCCCCCGGAACTGAATTACTGTGTCGCGAAATGATGCATGTCTAAAAAGTGTGTCACCAACATGAAAAGTTTGGAAAGCTCTGGGCTAGAGGGTTGCACCCAGAGAGTTGTAGTGGATGGGTCAGTATTGACCTGGAAGGGTGTGGGCAGTGGAGTCCCGCAGGGCTCGGTCCTAGGACCGATACTCTTCAATGTCTTCATCAGCGACTTGGATGAGGGAGT